AGGGCCTCACCACCCTCACAAGGAAGAACTTCTGCCTAATGTTTAATCTAAATCCCTCTCTGTGAGTTTAAAGCCATTCCTCCTTGTCCTGTTGCTACATGTCCCCTTCTCTTCCTGCATAAGTGAAGCTCTGATATTGCCCAATGCCCCTGGATGGTGTCTGTCATGATCAGGACTGATCCTGGGATGGACTGGTCCAGAGCAGCACCCTGCCCATCAGCAGCACTGCTAGCCAGTTGAAAAGCTAATAGATAAGCCTGTCATATTAGACTACCGGCAACTCCTCCCCTACAAAATTAGCTTGTGTAATGATAATAATTACGCATGGAGTTTGAATCCTGTCTCTGCTGGCAATGGGTGAAGTTGGTTGCTGCCTGATAGCAATTTGTTGAGCCAAGGAAAATGAATTGATGGTCTTGGTTCAGTTCCTAAGACATGAGTTTCTACAGCACAGGAATTCACCTGTGGGGGACAGCTTCACTGCCAATCTCAGCAGTGGCTTGTAAATATGTGGGCATAAAAGCTTGGCTGCCCATTCGTACTGACAGCTAGTCCTCACCTGAGAGGGCTGAACCCCAAGTAGGGCATGGAGTGGAGCTGGCTGTCTTGCTAGCCCAGATGTACCCACAGTGTAACCAAAGAGGAGTGGGGGAACCTCTGCTGTCTCTGTAGAGAGGACAGACAGAGCTAGTCCTGGCAGTGGTGGGCAACCACTGTGTGCCTGTGAACAGTAAAAGAGATGACACGTTTTTAATATATTATGAGCAACTGAGGGAACTGCTTTTGTTTTCCTCAGCAAATGCACTAAAGCCCTCAGCATCCTGGAAAGCTTTCCCTGTCTGAGCCTCCACAAAGGTGCCACACCACTGGTCCATCCCCTGCTTGGTCAATCTGGACATCCCTTGGCCCAGGAGGAATAATTTTGTCTGGAGCTGTTGGATGCTATGGGCACATCAATGGGCAGAAGACCACAAAGCAGTGCACACTCTTTGTACCTCCTTCCAATACCCCCATTTCACTGCTCCTTTGACAGCCAATCCCTCCTCTCTCTTGCTTACTGCCCTTTGGTCTCTTCATTTTTTTTTTAATCTCTTCTTCCCCTTCCCTTTCAAAGGAGGCTTTATTTTTGCAGCGAGCATTTCATCCAGTCTCTCACAATGCAATCCAGTAGGGCAGAACCTGTTACTGGAGAGCAGAGTGCTGCTGGTGTGAGACACAGCACAAACCAATGCAGATGGTCTCCACTGTTATTGTACATCACACACTGTTACAAGAGAGACACTGGGCAATGGGTGGGTAAGAATCTTTGGCAGAAAAACACAATCCCTGTTACTATGGTTAATGTGGAAATGGCAAGTGCTCTTGCACTGCTGCAAAGTGACTCACAAGGTCATGGCAAAACAGATTATGCTTTTTTTGTCCCAACTATATGCTGTAACACATTGCCATGTTCAATAGCTCCGCAAGCTGAAAGACTAAAGGGTTGGCATTAATACACAAAAAGGTCAGCTCTCCAAAGAGGCTTAGACTAGTGGAAGTGGAAATATCTACTCCCTTCTGTTCATACCAAAAGGTGCACTCTGAAGCATTATATACTGGCTGAGCTTGGAGAAGGTGAGAGCATGGCTTGCTAAGATTATGCCTACAAGGAATTGTTTTCTAGTGCTACTGCATGGACCCATAACCTCACCAGAGCCACAGAAAAATCTGAGTCCTGTATGGGCTGGGGCTGTGATCAGAGACTTGGTGACTGGGGACTTTCAGCCTACCCTTGCCTTTGCCTCAAAGCCATGGATGGTTCAGCAATCAAATGCTACCATGTTTGTCCCTGCTCCAGAAAAAGGGAATCTTAGAAAAAGAGCTCAGGGGAAGACAGGAAAAAAAAAAGAAAAAAAAAAGGGAATGAAACTACAGAGTAAATACAATTACACGATATGGACCTGTTTTTATAGTGCAAAGACTGTGCAGTTCTGGAGTCCTTTAGATGCAGCACCAAAATATTATAGCTAGACAGAAAGGTGGATGTGTAGACAAACTGCACAATTAATGGGATTTATTTGGGTCTGAATTATGTGTATGTCATGCCTCTATAGATTTTGATAGTTCTGTTTTTGCTATTTTCAGGCAACAAAGAACATTCTGTTATAGCATAGAACAGTGTGAGCCCACATTTGAGATTTTTGTGAACTATGAAAGAGTATCTGAGAGCAAAAATTCAGGCTTTAAACAATATATGGCAAGCCACAATCATAGCAAGACTATGGTTATGTACATAATACTGCAACACTCTTAGCCACTTTCAAAATGAGAAATATACCATAAAATAAAGTTGTTTGGAAGATGCTGACTTTGGATGGGGACTGGCATGGTCTTTTCTTCTCTATAATGTTAGTGCAATTGCATGCTGAGCTTTAATATTTTATTTCTACCCTTGCATTTGGAAGCACCAACATGCAGAATCACAGGGCAGTGCCAGTAACAAAAGCTACAGAGGAAAGCGTGAAAAATCCCATAATGAACAATGATGGAATAAGCTGCCCCGTGATGAAAATTTCTTTCTAACCCCAAGCAATTAGTGGCTGTCTTATATCATAAAGCATAAAGGTTTGTGTCCTTCCTACATTTCTATCCAGTCTAATATGGCTGTGGATGTTCTCATTACCCATATAAATGTCTAATTCATTTTTTAAAATGCTGCTAAGCTCCAGGCCTCAATAAAGCTTGTAGCAAGGAGTAACATTTGGGAGAGTGCATAAATGCTCATGAGAAGGAAGAAAGTAAGATGGAGCAAACACATGATGCTCATGAGCTACATCCAGGAGCATCCAAGCTGCTACAAATGAGCTTGCTTTCAGGGTTTCATTGCTGGTGTGGACTGGCAGAAGTAAACTGAGAGGTGAGGGAGAGATCTTACCACTGTTCCCTTTGCACCTCTGCTATAACTTCAGATGCCATTAACTTATAGGGAAGCTGAGCACCGAGAAAGACCAATATATTGCTGAAGACACACTGAGATAAATTGAAACTTTACACAAAGCAGACTATTTGGATGTCAGCTTCACTGGTAGAAAGGGGCCCCTCTGCCTGCAGCAAAGTGCAGCAAGACTTATTGTCACCTTTCAGTGTGTTGAGCTGCTGGTATTTGTGCAGGGATGCGTTGTGAATTGCTGGCTGAGCAAGTCTCTCCACAACTCAGAGAGAATCAGACTAAGGCCATTGACTTTTATATAGTCATGGATGAAATACCTAACTGAAAGCTTGCTTTAATTATGGGGGGTAGTTTGAGATAATAACAAAAGCTCAAGTTGTTAAGTTTCATCTAGAATGACCATCTTTTCTCTGATACCTTCAGTAATGGATCATGCAAAGTTACCTAAAAAGAGCTAGATGAACCAGGAAAAAGATAGAAATGGAGGAATAAACAGAGAGATAATAGACTGGCAAACAGACAGATGAACAGTTGAACAGATTGTTGTATTTGTAGAACCTTAGAGACAGGGTACCATGGTTGAGCTCAGAGAGCATAAGGGCTCTAATGTGCTCTAATGCCTCCATAAGCCTCCAAGAGCTCCCCATCCCTCTAAGCTACTGCAAACATGTACATACATGCCTAACTTTTATCACAGTAAGGCCCTTGATTTCAATTCTGCTTAAAGCTGAACTCATGGTTGAATGTCTACAAAGTGTATGTGGGGAGGATGATAATTATTTTACAGTACTCTTGGTATATCTGGGCTTTGTTGCATTCACAGGGTTCCTTTTTTCGGTGACACTGAACTGTAACTAGACTGCAACTTTTGTATTTCTATGTTATGTGGTAATTTTCCTTGCAGCTCACAAAGTCCCCTGTGATATCAAATCTTCTGAGATTTCAGGACTGGTGAGATTGAAAGAATTCTTTTTCTTAGGGGTTTTGTGGGCTTTTTGGCTGGAGCATCTAAGTCAGTATTTAATTTCCTAACAAATTAGATCAATCTATGTGTGCCCCAGAATAAAACACTCTTTTTGCCAGCTGGTGGCTAGGATAAATTAGTTACATTTACTTAAATTTTTACTGTTATAATTGTTATCATTATTGGGGTACAGCAACAGTGAGGAATGTCTTCCTAGCAGAAGTACGGCTCGGAGTAGATGGCTACCTCAAATACTGAGGATGCTGAAAAAATTAGGTGTTTGTTAAGGTCTTGTAGACTACTGAGTTCGTTGTTATTACAGCATCAGAGTGTCCACATATATAAGTATGGGTATAGATGCAGGTATATACCCTTTAATGTCCCTCCTTCATTTCTGACTGCCAGGGCTTCCAAAATTCCATAATCACTCTTTCAGTGCTGCCATCTTTTGAGCTAGATGGAACTGAGCCAATTCTGTGGGTGTATTAAAGGTGCTTCAGTCTCCAGGCCAGGTAAGGCAATAGGGTTTGGATGCAGTGAGCATTTTGGAGACAAACATGTGCTACTTGCACACATAGTCTGAGACATGGAACAGTTTTGGTCACCAGTCATGTGGACTCCCTGGAGTCAACCTCTCGAAGTGATTCAGCTGAAAGGGAATCCCAGTAGGAGATACTGATGGTGGGTGCTAGGAGATGCAAACAGGCTTAGCACAGCTCTTTCAAGGTGAGCCAGGAACAAGACCTTTGGGAGAGCTGCTGGGAGATCTGTCAGTATGAACTTGTCAGGCCTCAGACTGAATTTTAGCTAAAACAAAACATGCTGGGTGTCCTGATTGTATTCAGGCAAGTCATCCAACAGATGAGGGCTCAATTCTTCAGCATAAAAATTTTCCACCTCCAACGTGCTCTTAATCCTTCTCATCCAGATTTAAGTGTATAAAAACTGCATCTGGATAAGATCTAGCTACACCAATGGTAAAGTAAGCCACAGTGGTGTGGAGTGTAATCCTTCTGAGGTGGATCATGCTGGATGAAGCCTGTGGATGTGGACAATCTCCCTAAGACTGACAGAGAAGGCTGTGGGCACAACACTGATCTGACTTACCTGGGTAAGGGTGAATGCCATTAGCAAACACGGCTTCGGCGGCGGGCTGCCCATTAGCCTGCGGCGGGAGGCCAGTGAAACCATTCACCCCAATTGGAGATGGGATGCTAGGCACAGCTGGTGCAGTTATACCAGGAGGCGTGCTTCCACCTGCAAGCGGGGAGGACACAAAACCAGAGCTTGTGAGTACCGGAAGCAAGAACTGCATAGTAAAAATACACAGAAACCTTCTGATAATAAGTGAAAGATCTCCCAAGCTGTTGTGCAAAGAAAGGGACTTCTTGCCAATTGTTTCTCTGTTTGGAAAGCACTTAAGAAAGGCTTGCAAAACTTTCTTCAACAGAATGAAGGTTTTGCTTGGTGATCAGTCTCTCTAGGCTAGATCCACAGCTAACATCAAGCAATAAAAAGTATAGAAATATGACCCTTCCTCCTCAACTTTCTCCCTAGAGTATTACCTGTTTAAATTGCTAAATAAGCAGATGTTTCTTTCCTAGATATCATTTAACACCAGAAGCAAATTCTCAATCCCACCTTTCTACAGAAGTCCCTCTCAGTTTCTCTTTGGAGATATCAGCTTTGCGGGTGTACTGATTTCCAGGACTACTCTGTCTGCAATCCCTCATGAATGTGCATTTTATGCACAAACTCATTCTGAACTTTCTCAGCACCAGGGATTTAAAAGGTTTGGCAAGTTGACTCGTAGCCTAAAGGCAGCCAGTGATACTTTCGTTTTTGTCAATGTTTGGCCATAACTTGACTTTTGTAGAGTTTTGCACAGATCTCCCACTCAACAGGGGCAAAATTTGGGCTAGATTTCTTTTTTTCATGGAATAATGCTCCTCTCCCTCTTCCCAGACACATCCTGTGGAGGACTGCGATGCTACAATTCAGAAGAAAAATGTTTTGTGTTTTGGCCAGGATCCTGTCACCACTGGTAGAGAATTTTTTAATTTCTGAGGGGAGAATTAAATCCCTCTGCTACCTCACTGCCTGCTCCTATGTATGTTTAAAATGACTGGACAGTCTGTGCTTCTTGCTATGTATTCAGGACGGTTTTAGGGACCTAAAATGAGTTTTCAATGGGTGAGAAATTGTTTTTCTCTTGATAGCTGTGAGTGGGAAGTTAAACTATCTTATCTCCACCAACGTCTTTCTGTGTCAGGGTATACTACTGATTGAAAGCACCGTTTTTGCAGTAACCCCTTTTTTAAACCAATTGGAGAGATTTTCTTCCCCATAGCAGCGTTCCATGATAAGTTAGTCCAATAACACACTTTAATGACTACCTAAATCTGTGTTGGTGCTTTAAGGAAGCCAATACAGATGCATGGGATGCTTTAATATGTTCTGATTTGAGTAACCCCAAAAGAAGGCAATATTTCAGCTCTTTTCCTATACCCTGAGCAGACAAGCTGCTGCTTCCTCTTTGCTTATTTAAATGGTGTTGGCCTTTAAAAATGTCCTCTGTGGAGGTACAGGGAGTTAGCAGTGGCAACTGAAGTCCAAAGGCAATGCTCTTAGCATATGCCATCAGTTTGCAAATCACAAAGTCTAGTTAAAATTTCAGTTGCTTTTCTAGATCTCTCCTTTATTTGCATAGACAGTGTAAGTATTTTTTCTAAAATTACAGCAAGGGATTTGTGCTTGCTATTTTCTGCATGTCTACGGAAGTTTAGGCATATTCGTTGGAATTCTTTAATTTCCTTCTTATAAAGGAAGGTCCCCCATGGGGAGGTCAGATCTGTAGCAGGAGTTAAATTTGGCATAATGCCACCGCAAAGAACAAATGGTGGTGGTGCATGCCAGTTGTGGATTTCACCCCTGGTTTGAGGTCTCTTGCTGCAGCTACACCAGATGCAGATTTACAATATGGAAGGAGAGAGAAGATAAGGATGGAGAGATGCTTATATGAAATACCATTTCTAGTCTCTCTGTGCAGTTAAGGAGTAGCAGCCCCACTTTTCACCCAGATTACACCAATGATGGGAGAAATGCAAAACTTCAACCAAACTTTCAGAGACGTCAATTTAATTGCCTCATAATCACGGGCTGTTGTGTGAGATAAACCTGACTCTTGATGGGAAACCTGACTCTTGCTGTCTAGATGCCAGCAAACGGCATACAATCTTTATGGTCTGAATTACCCACTGGGACTGCCTACTGCACTCCACTGACTGCAAGCAAACCCAGTGACTAGTTTAAACTAAATGTCTAACTTTTGTGTGGTTAAACGGGGTGAGATGGATCCTGTCTCTAGTCTGTTAGGTTTGCCTGGAACCAAAACTCTTTCTTACGTACCATGGGAACTCGTGAGCCTGAATGAACTCATGGCCATGTCCCAAGGAACCCACTCTCCTAGAGGCAGGACACACAGAAAAACAGCTGGATTAGGAGGCCTGAAGATAGAAGCACAGAGGCACTGTGCTCAGCTCCAAAGCTTCTAGGACTTCTGGGTTACCAGTGTCCTTTTTCTAGCACAATTTTTCTTTTGCTTAGGAAAGATCAAAACACTTCAATTTTTTTCAATGTTCCAAACGCTTTTTCTAATGTCTGTTTTTCAGAGAACTTTGAAATGTTTCATTTTCATTCCAAGTCAGAACAAAGATATACTTCAATGACTGGAAATCCTGCTATGAAGCAGAATGATCATTTTCCATTTGGCTTTCTGAATGCTAACAAAAGCCAGCAGGAGAATTCATGTTAGGCTTCAGATATCTCCTGGCTACTCAGAAATCGCTGCTAGTGTTGTAGGCTTGCTTGCTCAGACGTTATGTGAAACATTTTCTACGCATCTTATCACAAGCTTTGTGAGTGTTGTACTAATACAAGGAGTCATTTCAAAGTATAAACATTTCACCCAAGGAATAATTGTCAATGGACATTTCCACAACCCGTTACAGAGGTTTTTAATGAAAGAAGGCACCCATTCAACACAAATCTGCAGTAACGCCAAAGTGCGTAGACTCCATGATTGAAATCATGTCACGAGGGAGGAGGCTGCAAAATATGCCACCATGAACAAGATCAAGGGATCTTATTTACAGTAATGACCAGTCATGGGTGCTCTGTAAAGCATGTGAAAACCATGAGCTTTCCTCTCCTGTATTCTGATAATAAGAGTTTAACAGTCCCCAAAAGGCACAAGGCACACCAGAAGGGGAGAAAGGGTTTAAATCAAAGAAGGGCTGGGATATTTTTCATGTCCTGGATATCATGGTAGGCACAGGATTTGGCTGTTGTACTGGTATTTCCACACCTCTTTCACAGAATTTGCTAATCCTCAAGACATTTATATGCACAAGAGTTTGTGCTCTTTTGTGGTGGGGATATCATAAACTGTCGACTGGATTCAGTTCTCCGGGCCCTGAGAACATTTGAATTCCAAGCAGTCTTTGTTTGACGTTCTCTCTGCTCTCACCAACACAAAACAAATCTAGCTAATGCAAATACGATAATCTTTCAGGCAGCGGGTTTAAAGGGTGCACATATAATTAAGCCACTTTTATATTTGGATTTGCAGTAGCTCCATCGACTTGTTGTTTATACATTTATCGTTGTGTAAACATATATTTTGAAATGTGTGGTATGAGATTTTTGAGTCAAGTGCTTTTCCTTGGGTCTTCATAAGTTTGTGTGGAATTAAATCTGCCTTCCTTTCTCTCCTCTTTTCCCCTCTTCATATTCTAATACAAGCAAAGGGAAAGACAGGTATCTGATCCAGTAGCTTCTGACATTGCTCCCAGCCCCCCACTGCAAAGATATGCTAAGGGAGGTTTTCTTCAGCAGATAAGGTTAACAGAACTCAATTGGTCAGGAGCAGCACCTCAGCCTGCATTGCTGTGGTGCCCTTGCCCTGCTATCCAGTGCATCTTTCCTGGCTTCTTTGAGATAGCTTTTTCCTGCTCCAGGGCTGCTGCAGGACTCTTTATGTCTGGCTTCAAGCTTCCCCATCCTCTCTTACTGCTCTTCTCTGGAGTCCCAGATCCTGCTCTGCCAGTGCTACATGCACCACAGCTAGTTCCTACATCCTATCTCAGACCTTTGTCAAGCTCATCCCCTCCAGGCCAGCTTGATGCTCCAAGGTTCACACAAAGGCATTGCTATGCCACATCTGTCTAAACACAGTCTCATCCCTAGTGCCTCTCACAGGAGCAACCCGCGTCACCCCCAGGGACCCTCATATTCCAGCCGGTCCCTTCTGGTTCGTTGACCTGTTCCTGCCCATATGATCTCCTTGTTCTTCAAACCCCAGGAAAGCTACTCCTCTTTCCATCTCATCTTTCTTCTCTGTCCATTGAATCATATACTGCAGCTCCTACCATGGGTTTCTGTGACACTTTGCAGCCTACCCAGGTCCTGGCAGCACTTCACTGACTACCTGTCTCTGCTTCAACAGCCAGAAATGCTCTCTCTAAACACTTGCATTCTAGAGATCTTCCCTGAGTACCTCCTGTTCTATTTCACAGCAGGAGAAAGGCTTACATGTCCCAGTGACATAACTCATCTTGTTCATGATATTTCAGCTCACAACAAACCTTATTTCCTTCGTCTTTGTACCAGCCTGGCTTTGTATCAGCCTGGATATCTATATGCACTGGGGGATGTTTTGTGACATTTGAAGGGTACTCAGAGCTAAAGGAAAGTTCTGTGAGGGGTAAGGCTGAAGGGAAGGGTCTGAGGGCCTTTTCCAGTGCCTTCCCTGTCAGCACCCTTTCTCCTCCCCAGCAAGCCCATTGTGTCTCGGTTCTGATGGGTTTCAACCCTCTTCTTCTCCTCACCCACCAGTAAGAGCCATTCAGCACAGAGCAGATAGCCTGACAGCCCACTGTTGGTGAGCCGTTTGTCTTTACCCTTACAACTGCTTCACAATGCAGAAGTTGACCTGCAGCTTGCCCAGCCCTGGAAGAGGCAGTGACAGCCTTCTTCTGCCACTTTCCTCTTTTCACAGACCACAAAAGGATCTGACCGGCTCCACTCCTCACTTCTGGTGGCCTTCACCAACAAGACCAACTTTTCAACAGACAACCACTGAGGGAGGACCTATCAGTTAACAGGTCTCTTCTGGGATTTTCACACCCTTTCCCCTCTCCATCCCACTGCCCCCTTACCTGAGGTTGGTGTCATGGGAGCAGCAGCCAGCCCGTTCATGTTCAGGGCTGCCATTTGCTGCATCTGGGCTGCAGCAAAGGCTGCCATGGGGTTCAGGTAGCCGCCCTGCGCCACTGATGCCATGATCGCGGCTTGCTGCTGCATCAGCTGGAACAAAGAGAGAGAGCAGGGAAAAAACATCACGCGGTCACCGGTAAGATGGACCATGGCACCGGCACCAGCATGGGGACCAGGGCAGGGTGTGAGGCAGACTCTGCTATGAGACGCCAGCTCAGCATGCCTGTGGTACACCACAGCCTTGGCCTTCCTTTCTGATACATGAACTGGAGGTAAAGTGCATCTTTGCATCTTGGCATCTTTATACTCCCCATCCCTATTATGTGTTGCCGAGTGTGGAGGTTTCCTATGGATTGGACTCAACCTTCTGAGTCCATAGTACTTCCCTGAGTAAAGCAGAGAAAAGCCTTTATATGATCTTGAGCAGAGAGGTTTGGTGGCTTGTGTCAAAGCTCTGGTAAAGCACTGAGACTGATAATGGGAGACCAGTCTCTGCTGAGTGATGGGGAGAAGAGACGGTTTCTCCAGAGCAGCAGCTTAGCTAGATCTTTGGGGGAAGCTTGATTTGTTTCCATCTGTCAGTGACAAAAATAGTTTTCTCATATGTTGCTGGGAAGTCTTTAGAGGGCACTGGACAAAACCATAACTAAACCTTCCAACAAGGTTACAGCGCCTATTTCCAGCACAACCAAGCAGAGAATCCTGGAAGAGCTGCTCAAGAGAAAGGAGCTCTCCTACTTTAGCAAGATTAACACTATATAGTTGGAAAATCCTTTCCTTGTGGTTTTGATCTGGGATGACTTCCCTAATTATTTTAGTTTTTTCCAGAAAGTAGTCAAAATGCTGCCTTTTTTAGGGCAGATAGGCAGAAATAACGAACCCAGGCTATATTTGTTTGAATGGAAGGACGATGAATCGTTATGCATGCTAGAAATGCTTCTTGCATTAAAACCAGACTTTGCTATCATTATCTTACTCTCTGAACCTAGTACACAAGTCAGTGCAGTTCATGTGTACAGAATGGTGAAGTGGGCTTGTAAAATGCTCGTGGTGTGAAGGAGACAGAAGCTGTTTCTTGTGTTCCTCCCTGATGCTATATGAAGACCCAAACGAAGTAAGTCTGAGTCCATATACAACCTCCACTAGTGACCCGTAGTGGATCCTTAGAGAAAGTGTGCAGGAAAGAGGATCAGCAGAGAGGAAAATCTCTGTTCATTTCCAAGCCTCTGGTAATTCATGACTTGATGATAATCTTGGGGAAGGAAAGCTTTTCTTCAGTGATTTTAGCAGTGACTTGTTGGATTAGCAGTTGGACTTGATGATATGAAAGGTCTTTTCCAACCTAAATGATTCTATGATTCTATGATTCTATGTCTCTGCTATCTCTAGAATTGTAGTAACTGTTTTTGTGCTCTCTATGGTTTCACTCTCTCCCATCAGGAAATTATCCTCTGATGCTGTTGTTTAAGCACATAGGACGTGCTTCTCAGCTTTAAACAGCCCTCAAAAGTCATGGGAAGGAACAGACTGTTCCCTACTGTTCACTTTAATGTTGAATTATTATCTAAATTAGCTGTTCATACACATGCACACTAAAACAAATCCTTGAAATCACTGTGCTTATTCTAATGCTGAAACTTTCCTTGTCACCATCAGTAAAGAAGCCAAACTAAAGGATGCTCTGCCACTGATCTGCAGTATAACTGTGCACAAATTGTGTAAACCTGTCTTGGTTTCTTCTGTGATATAAGAGGACACGGGATACATGCTTCCCCACCGAGGAGTGCCTTCAGATCTACAGATGGAAAGTGCTATACTAGATCTGAGTACTATTATTTTTTGAAGCCTAATACAGATCAGTGGCAAGGTGGTGGCTTTCCCTTTGATTGTTAATTACCCTTTTTTATTATACCCTGCCTAAGACACTTTCACATTTTAATTAGTGATATCCTGTTCTTTGTAATTACTGATGGAGTGATTAGACAATCTTTTCTATTACAGCACAATGCTGATTCCCATTTAAAGAGTACATTTGTTTCTAGGCATCATTTGCGTTTATTCTCCAGAGGAGGCAATGAGCAGGTGATTTTAGGAAGTATGTCAATGCAGGTGAATAAGGAAGGGAGAATCCATCCATTTTCAATACCGGCTTGACTCCAGCGTTAGGGATCTGGACTCGTACCTCATTTTCTGTGCCAGGTATCTTCATTTGGGGACAGCTGAAGAAATAAACTGCTGGTTGCAGGAACAGTAGCCTATAGCAGAAATTATAGCCTATAGGAACTGTTCAGAGCTGATGATCAAAGAAACATGTTTCTGAGATGGACACACTTGCAAGGGCTGGGAACAGCTCAGTCTGGTCTTTGTTGACTTTTGTTTGTGTTTCTCCAAGCTGACTAGAGCTGCATGAACAAACCCACCACAAGCCATGGAGTGACATGTGGCTGGTCATGTGTGTGCTGTGGTCATTCTTGCTGTCAGATGCCAGCCAGGTATTTGTACCACAAGCCTTCTAAAACAGGCAGGAGACTACTGTTTTGTCATTTCCCACCACAAGGTTTTGTAAACTAAACACACATGAGGTTTTCTCTGAGCTGGACACCTATTATGGTTGATGTGATAATGGGCAAAGGATTCTAGGCCAAAAGTCATCTCCCCCTTTTGTACACTAATGCCTCTGGGCAGATGTATTGCAGCTTTGTTTCTCTCTATTGAGAGTATGTGGAGCTCCAAGTGATCAGTTCCAATGCACATGGCAGCACAGTCAGATGAAATCATTCCTACCCCTTACCTGGCCCTCAGCAGATATTTTTGGACTTTGTTTCTCAACCACTTAAAAGAAAAGTGTTAATTCTTTTTTTTTTTTTTCTTTTGTGTGTGTGTGTGTGTGTGTGTGTGTGTTTCATCTGTGCTGCAAGAGAAACAGGGCTCGACCTAAAAGATACCACATTGCCAGGAGTATAACATATGATTGTCGTGCTCTAAAGACAATCTCCATTTCGCACTAGGAAATCACGTGTGATATTACTGATGGCTTATGCAACTTCTCCTGGTTAATGATATCTCTAAACTGTCCATAGTTAACACCACAACAGAAGGTGCTCCTCCTGGTTTGCAAACCAGGTAACCTGAATATGTGACTTGTGTTTTCAGAAGGCTTATAAATTTGCACTGAAAGATGTGTGTTTGTAGAATATACCTTGGTTACATGCATGCTCCTTTTTGCAGTGTAATGTCATTCATGCAGTTCTGCCACAGATCTTCAGAAAGAACATATTTTTTCTCTCCTTATGGGAAGAACTAGATAATCCTCATCTCATGATTAGTGCTGAAGGTGCAGGGTCTGCAGTCTAAAGCCAGGTGAGTTTTGGTGAAATAGTCACTTAAAACTGGTCAAACTCCCACAGAGTAGGAACTTACAGGAAAGAAGTTAAGTTTATCTTGGTGTTAAAAAGCTAGTGCAGTTAAAATAAGAACCTAACCTTTCATTTGGAAAACAAGATTCAGTTGCTTCTGCTACAGCCACCCCATTTCTGTCATGCTTAGTGCTCTGGGGTTGTGCACTTCAATATGCCCTGGAGACCTAGCAACAAACCCTTTGGCATGTTGAAATGAGCTGGAGCCCTACACTTTATGACCCAGAGGATGTACACCCCTCTGCAGCCTTCAGAGCAAGTCCTTGGGGTAAGCCTTGGTGTCCTCCAGAGCTGGAAGGATTATATCATCCCATACCTGAACATAGCCATGTACCCCAGTTAACTGGCTTTGCTTCTCCGGCTCAGAGGGGACCCAAAACATGTACCAAGCATGTGTGGACATCTCAGCCTTTGACAGTACTCTTGCCACACTTTTGCAGTCACGTTTTCCATTCTTACCTTTCATAATGGGGTAGAGAAGGGAGGTCCTACTCAGCCTAGCAGCTGATAGCCACAGCTTGGCCAAGTGCAGCAGAATCACTGAGATGGGAAGACAGGGACTTGGTCACCTTGAAAGAAGCTGACAGGATAGAGCTACCTCCTTCCCCCCAGGGTAGCTCTGAGCAAATTTGCAAAAGGAAGGCAAGTCCTGTGAGGGTCACTAGTGTCTCTTATAAAATCTCCAGGCATTCCCTGTAAAAGTCACCCCACTCCTTCCCCAGCTCCCCCTGAAGACAAATGTCCCATCCACTCTCCTTTTACTTTGAAAGAGGCCCAATGTTTGGTCCCAGCTAATAAAGCTGTAGAAAGTGAGGCACTGACCCCACCGGAGGCAAATCAATAGCAGCAGGGCCCCTGGGTATTGTGTTCTTTAAAATATGCCATTTGAAATGCAGATTTTCCCTGCCTGGGCTGGGGCCACAAAGCACTAATCAGAAAGGCAGCAGCCTTATTATCTCAGACTGGTCCAAGGGGATAGAGAGGAGCTTTTCAGCTTCCTCAGCTGAAAGGATGTATTTCCTTTTGCTTCTCTTCCTTAGCATGATCTATACCTCAGCATTTAGAGCTTTTTCCCATCCAGTTTTAAAGATTAATTCCCTCTTTCCTCCAACCTGGACTTTACTATTTCTCAAATATTTAACTTCTCAGGAGACCAAGAGGTTTTAACAAACTGGTTCATGCCAATGGACAGCTCCTCAAGAGCTAAAAACCTGCAGTCCTCATCCTAATACTGGAGAAATGATGGAGCAGCTGGGGAAGCACTGATAAGGCCATTCAAAGCATGGAAAGGTGTAGTTGTCATGGATCGTCATCAGAGAGAGATGGGAGGATTTATCTCACACACTTTTTTGCTACCTCAGGTTGAGGTGGTTAAACTTCAGGCATCTCTGCCACCGGTGAGTAGATAGATACATCCAACAGGCTTATCCACTCTATCCTAGCACGGAAGATTAAGACAAAAATCAGAAAGGGGTGAAGTTTTGCGGCAGAGCTGTACCAACGCAAAAGCTTGCTGATGCACAGCTCCTTCTCCACATCTTGCATCAGGACAGATGCATGCCTGACTCCGATGAGCATCAGCTGAGGAGCACCAGTGTTGCATTAACCGTACAACACAAACGTGGCACTTACTGCCAGTTTTCCTCCCAGAAGTGGTTTCTAAGTGGCCACTGG